CCACCACAAAATCCGCTAGGATTCTTCTTTGGCGAGGAGCTTCGCCCAGCTCCACAATAAGTACGATCTGACCTAGGGCTTCGATAGGATCCCCAGAAAATCCCTGTAGCTTCCTTGGATACGGTTGGAGGTAGCGAATTGATATTTCCAACTGCCTCAAGGTTCGTGAATACAGTATGTTGACTGAACTTCCATTGTCCACTAGAGTGCAGTGTACTTTTACTCCGGCAACCATCATTGTGACCACCAGGGCGTCACTATGGTCTTGAAGGATTCCTTCAGAATCTTCTTCCTTGAACCAGAACAATTCAGGGTCTATGCCAGTCTTAGGGGTTTGATTTCAGTAGTTCGGCACGATTTTTGCACTTCGGGCTTGCCTTTGCCTAGCCCTTCTGGATCTTTCAATGTACAAATTTTTGCCCACCATCATTTAGATTTAGGCATGTGGGGGTGGGTTATGGTTAGGGATTGCTTGCTGGGCTCGTGTGGGAGCCCCCTGTAGCAGTGACTGCTGCGTCGTAGGTCGATCTGTTTCTTTTGGCTTGGCAACAAACTCCTGTAACCGACCTCTTCAAATTAAGGATTCAACTTCCTCTTCTAAGTCCCGGCAGCTATCAATGTCATGGCCCATCGTCCTATAGTCTCGGCAGTATCGTCCTTGGCGTTGTCTGGCCTGTCCGTCCTTTAGGACTATAGGTCTGCGAAATGCTTCTTTTGTATTAGCTTGCGTGAATACCTCTTCCAAGGAGGCTTTAAGTGGGTAGTACTCCTGGAACTTGTATGGCTGAGCCCTGTGACGTTCTCTTTCTCTCTTGTCCTTCTTTCTTTCTGGCTGGGGACTGCGGCTTGATTTTTTTTTCTTTCACCACATCACTGAGGTTAATTTCACGTCTTGCTTTCTCTTGGTCAGAGGTTGCTTCTTCAGCGCTTATGTATTTCTCAGCTCGATTCAGGAACTCGTGATAAGTCCTTGGACCGTCCTTGTGTACTGACCACCAGAATCTCGTTTTGGGTCTTAGTCCTGCTAATACGGCCATGAGTGCCGCATTGTCAGATATTTTTTTTTACTTCCATGGATTTCTTATTGAACCTACTCAGATAGCTTTTGAGGGATTCACTTATTCCCTGCTTGATGCTCACTAGACGTTCTTTAGGTGTAGTTCTAGCCTTGGAGCCCATAAACTGGGCCAAGAATGCTGTGACCAGATCATTCCAATCCTTTATCGACCTTTCGTGTAGTCTCCTAAACCATCTTTGGGCTTTGTCTCCTACAGCCAGGGGAAATGCCCGACACATGATTGCGTTGCTTGTCCCCTGTAATTACATCCACGTGTGTATTTGTCAAGGTGGCTGAGGGGATCACCATCCCCTTCATATGCGGCGATCTGGGGAATTTTCAATTTTTTAGGTAGTGGTTCCATAAGGACATCCTCAGTGAAGGGGGGATGTCGTTTGGTTTGGTAACCTTCAATGCCACCTTTATTTTTAGCCTCCAATTCGACGATGCGTTTTTTAAGCGCGCTTAGTTCAGGTTCTGTTTGTTCCAAAGGACGTTTCAAGTCAGATTGTCCTTGCGTAGGAGTCAGCGAATGATGGGTCCCCAATCTGTCGAACACACTTGCAGTCCTTCTCGCCTCGGGTTCTTTGCTTTTGGTCTCGTCGATTTGGCTTCTTGATGATTCTCCTCTTGAAAAGTGGAGAGTCCTCCTGGTGGGGGGACGCTTTGCATTTGTCCTTACAGGGGATTCAACCTCGGTATCTAGTGGGGACGAATGGGCTTAGCTCCTTTCCAGTCATCCCACTGCATTTGTCAATTCTTCCAGGGCTTTCCTCATTGCGATCATTTGAGGGTCTTGCCGTTGTGGAGAACTCAGTGGTATATTCGTTTCATGAGGGTGGGTGTGAGATGGATTTTTGGAACTTGAGTTATGACTCATGGCTCTTGAAATTTTTGTGGAGCGAATGAAAATGTTTTTCACAATTAGGGGCCCTCCTTCTAGCGCCAAACTGTTGACGTCAAAATTAACAAGGATAATTTTGAATCAACTTTAAGAAAAAAGGCGATTTATGCTTAAAAAAGACCACAAAGATGTCATTTTAGTGTGATTGTGTCATAAGTCGTTATATGAATTTGCATGTCCTTTATAAGAGTCCTATTCAACTATTTATACATAGTTTCAGCCGAAATTACATCAAATTAGTCAAATCAATAACAGTGCCGAGCTCGGAACTCGGGTCGCCAAATTTTCCTGTGATTGGTCGATGAGACCGATGGTCATGTGTTAATGTATTACCCAGGTAATGATAACCTATAGGGGGCTGAGGACTTGGAATTAATTGTTCTGGGCGACGATGACGTCACCTGTGGCAAGTGTATATGATTGATAGGGTGATGTGACAATGGGGTAATCATGATATTTTTCTAAGATAACAGTGGGGTAGCTCCGACCTGAGGGTACGAACCGAACTTACGTTTAATTGAGGTGGAGTTAGCGAATTGTTTATATTAAATTGGAGTTCAAATGTCAACAGTTTGTATTAAGAATTTGAATGTGTAGTGGCGTTAGACCAACCAAGAGGGCGTCATTGCTTGATTTAAAGTAGTCAAAATAGGTTAGAACCTAGTAGTTTATTCGGTGATCATCCACTAACTTATCGAAATTAATTGAAAAGTACAAGAAATTAACTAAGAATGATTGGTCAAAAAGTTAAATCTCTCAAATGCTAATAAGGTGAAATATTTCAATCAATAGAGAATTAAGCTCTTTTCTCTTCGTTCTTCGTATTTATTTCCCTTTAAGTAGCCTAATTTCATGTCTGAAGGACAGGGAAGGTTGACGGGTTCGTCGTCTCTCAAATTTCTTATCTTATTGAAAAAGTTTAATTGTATCTCTTATATTTCGTTTTCTCCAAAAGATCAAGGATCAAAGCCTCTTTAGAAAAAGATTTACTATGTTTCGCTTTAATATTTACAATCAGTAGCACGTGTCACACATATCAATCAAAAACATGTCTCGTGGATTGAAGGTAATGCTACACTATTTTTAATTATTTATAGTCACAATTTCTTTTCCTAATATTATATTCCTCTCCAAGGTCACATACGGCCGGTCATAATATCTTCTAACTGCAATGAAGTTTTTCACAAATTTTAGGTGATCCTATAATTTAGGGAACCTAGCAAGTTTGTTAATATTCTTAATTGGTTAGATAATTACCTGATTTTTGTAGTTTTACAAAATGTTTCTTATTTCTCAAAATGTAATGGTAATCACAGGAATTATCAATTTTGACCCCCACGAATAAAAAGGCTCTGTAGCTGCCCATCTTGTTTAGGCTGCCACGAATAAATTCTTAGTTCACAATTATTTGTGATGGTGGATTTATTTTCAATGTAGTTAATATTGACAAACTAAAATTTGCCAAGTATTCAACAAAGATTATCGTGAAGGTGATCACGTAATCGATAAAATTGCTGACACATTCATAATGATTTTTGTCGTTATCCTCATTTTCCCGCTCGTATAGACACTTTCAAAATTGTCAAGTATCTAAGTCCGATCTTATTTTTTTGCTCGGACATATTTCAAAATGTTAATTAATATTTTCGATATAAAAGTTGGGAAGGTGTTCATGTTATATCCACTGTTATTGTTTTTTTTTTTTTTTTTTTTCAAAATATAACGATCAAAGTTTGCACGACAAATAAAAATAATTAAAAGATATTTTTTGTTTGACGTACCATGCAAAATGATTTTTACAACAAAAAAACTTTACCTATCCTAATTCTATTTCAAAAAATAAAATAAATAAATATAAAAAATAATAAAATACTCAAAATATTTACTTTTTGTGATATAAAAAATAATAAAATACTCACAGCATTCACAATAATAAAAATAATAAATATTTTCCTTTCGTTCGATCTCGACAATATTTACTTTTTATTTTTGAGACTATTTTTATAACACCAAGAATTTTGTGCGAGAATGAGGACCGGAAGAGGCAATGGAATCCACGTGTCACTCATAGGACGGTAAAATCTTTTCAAGGGCAACGACAAACATGCTATAGCCAATGGGTATTTTACACCAAATAAAACTACATTACAACAGCGGGGATAGCTCAGTTGGGAGAGCGTCAGACTGAAGATCTGAAGGTCGCGTGTTCGATCCACGCTCACCGCATTGCCTTTTTGTGAAGATGGAATTTGGAGGGAAAGAAAATGAATTTTAGGAAATTGAATTGTCTAAAACTTATTTTTCTGGAATTGTAAATTATTGTGCTTGATTGACGTAAATTTTCACGTGAAAAATGTTGAAATAAAAATATTTTTTGGTGTTCATTTGACTTTATTTTACATGAAAATTGCCAACTAAATGGATATAATTTATTGGTATTGAGAATGGAATTTGTTTCCATTGCTAAAAAAAAAAAAATTCATTTATATTTTAGTGTTCGTTTGATTTTGTTTTATATGGAAATTGTCAATTAAAGGAAAATATATTTTTTTTAATAGTCCTTCGAATTTGTTTCAATTGCCAAAAAAAAAAAAAAAGGTACAGTACCGAGAATTGGTGAGAATTCCAATTCAAGGATTTGACGGAAAATGCTGACGTGGCCAAGAAAGGTGGAATTCGTTTTCCATGAAAAATTTCACCTATCAAACACTACAAAAATTGAAAAATGGTATTGATTTTTCATTTTCCATGAAAATTGCGAGGTTATCAAACACACCCTAAAATGAGTTCAATCCTCGCTATCTCACTCCCAATTTTGTTGAATTGGCATAATGAATAATACTATTTCTCAAAGTTTATATCCGGATTACCATTTCCATTAGCGTAATAATTAGAAATTAGAGTAATTATTACTCAACTTCAATAACCATTGATGTGAGGAACCCCGTATAAAATAAGTATTCGAATATTTGTAAATTATCGACAGTTTTAAACTTCCTCCAACAAAAAGTTTTAAACTTCCTCCAACAAAAAGGAATACGAAACATAATGGACAATGCTGCTATTTCTGGTTCAAATGTCAGCTCACAAACAAGCATACAAACGCATAAAGGCTACAAATTTGGGGGCTCATCTAAATTTGGTCCTACAATGTTTCGAATTTAAGAACACTTCCCCTAGAAATTATAAAAATTATAAATAGTACAATTCAAAGGTCAGGAAGTGTTACAGACAGCAACAAGAAATGTACAACTTTTCACAATCTACCATTTAACAGGAATCCCACCAAAATGATCATCAATATCCTTGATTGTCCAGAAAAGTTATCCCCACGAACTTGAAACAAATTCCGAAAATACTAATATTACCTAGAAAAAGTCGAACTCGAGATATTTATAGGCTTTTTGATCTGGGATATTTGCAGCAACAGTAGCCTTTTCATTGACTGACACTGCTGGAATGGTTAATTTCTCGAATTCTACAGGCTTTGGGATCTCAGGAGGTGTGGCACATCGTATCAATGCCCAATTCACTCCTTCGAAGAAAGGGTGTTGCTTAATCTCGGTGGCACCTCTTTTATAAGCCAACCTATTATGTGGTTCTTTCACGAGCAAACCCCTAATTAGATCACGAGCAGCAAAACTGACGATGGGTGATTCTGGGAATCGAAGAGGCTGTCCAACAACGTTGAATAATGTCGCCCGGTTATTAGGACCTTTAAATGGAGTTTTACCAAACAAAAGTTCATATAGAAAGATCCCGAATGTCCACCAGTCAACTGGACTTCCATGACCTTCATTTTTTATAATCTCGGGCGCCAGATACTCGTGAGTTCCTACAAAAGACATCGACCGAGCATTGGTTGGTTCAGCAATCAGCTCGGGCAATGGAGTAACTTGGTTTCCAATTTCGTGTTTTGGCTTCCTATCCTTTTTAGATTTGCTCAAAAAGAGACGAGGAGAGAAGCACGTTGTTGGAACAACACACGATGGCTGAATGCAGGCAGGTTCAATGCACGCCGGCTGGATGCAATATCCAGAATTTTTTTGCACGGGTTCCGACTCCAAGGACGAGGTCTTGACCAGTGAGGGACTAACATCGCAGCAAAGTGAAAGGTCAAAGTCTGAGAGCATTATGTGCCCATCGTCCCTCACCAGGATATTCTCTGGCTTAAGGTCACGATAGACAATCCCGAGCATGTGTAAATATTCCATAGCAAGCAGGACTTCTGCAACATAAAATCTGTCACAAGCGACAATGGAATCACAACTGTTAGTTACTCGTGGATCTATGATAAATTTTGATCACCTGATGATATTAGGCAAGGATCATACTTTGCATGGGGAGTACTACATTGATGCAGATAATGAACCTATTTCCAATCAATAAGAAGATAACTACCAAGAACAATAAACATTAGGCGCAAGGTTTATCATGTCCGGTTAAGACTTGCCTATTAAAAATCAAAGTCGAGATTATCACAGTTAAACACTTAAACTTGCTATCATTTCAAATATTAACTCAAGCCAATTCAAACCTACATAAAACCCCGCACTCGTGATGTTATTCATGTACACAGTTGAAAATCACTTAGGTAGGTAAATCACTTGTAACCAAAGTCATGACTTCATAAGACGTATAAAATAGAATACAAATAAAAAGGATGCATCTCACAAGAAGAGTTTGTAATTACACAAGACACAGGATAATTGATGATTATACCCAATTACCTTAGAAGTAAAACATCCTACTGTAATATGGGTAACGTTCAAAAGTAAAAAGACAAAATTTTTAATAATGACTTTGATGCATTACAAAAAAATAAAATTCCGGATACTTTGATATCAACAGCTGTATGCAGATGGAATAATTATGACAGATGAATGTCAAAAAAAATTTAGGTATTAATATGATCGACAGGATAATTGGGGACAAAAAGAGAGAGCAAATTATTAGTTCAATATCCAAGAAGAGTTGAAGATATCATACTTCACAACTTGTTCAGAAAAGTATTTTCCGGGTTGTCTTTGTCTAAGAGAGTGCAGGTCTCCTCCGGGGCAAAATTCCATCACCAGACACGAAAACTTATCAGTCTCAAAATGTGCATATAGAGTTGGAAGGAATGGATGATCAAGGGACTGCAGTATCTCTCTTTCCGTCTGAGCACGAAGAAGCTTCTTACGACTTGCTAGAGATGCCTTATCCATAACTTTCATTGCAAAATAACAATTTGTTCCTCTCAATTCGGCCAAGTAAACACTCCCAATATCTCCACAACCTAATCTCTTCAGCAATCTGAAATGACTCAAACCCAAGACACCATCCCGGGCTCGGATCGCTTGGATGGCTTCCCATCGCAAATCATTTGCTTTATGGGGTTTGGTGATACTGCTACTGAAACTGCTAAAACTGCTTTCATCACTAACATCAGTACTCGTGCTTCCTCGACACATACTACTCTTTCCACTCTCGAAAAAGTTCCCGAGATCACTAATTTTTGCACTTCCGCCCATATTTGCAAGACTGCTGGCTCCATCACTAATCTTTACGGAAAATGAACTGCTCTTTACACTCTCTTGCTCCGACATTCTTTTTTCTTGATTAGCAGGACTATCCGTATCACCAAATCCATTAGAATTATTAGGAGATCTTGCAGGGTTTACAGCTCCAACAGGCACTGGCAACCCTGTCACATTAATTAGTCCTGCTGGATGTTCAGGATTAGCCAGCTCAGGCTTGCTTGTATTTGAGACCTGAGAAGGAATATTTTTATGACTTTTTGCTAATATTGCTTGCTTAGAACCAGGAGCTTCTATTTCCCGTTCTGGAAAAGGTCTAGTGACAGTTTTTGAGGCCATGTGGGAAACAAAGAGAGTATGGTTAAACTATATCCAACTAATAGTACTCTGCAGCTACTACAATATCACATAATCACTTCAAAGAACTTCCAAATGTCTGTTCTCCCTTACTCATAAAATTACAGACCTGTCAAATGAAACAACTACCATTAAGTAAACACTGTTACCACATAACTGCATAAAACTACTCATTAATCAATATAGTCATTTCCAATCCATGAAATTATTTGATCTATAAAAAGAATAATTTGTAATGATTGCGAACGAAAACGAACCCATATGAAGTTTTTCCACGAGTCAATGATGTAGTGTACCAATACCACCATATAGCTGCAACAAGGCTGTCACTGTTACAAATATACGATGTGGATTCATGAAATAAATGGAAGAATCCGGAAAAAATAATAAAAACTAAACATTACAATATGTTGGGGGTTCAAGTTTCTATTACTCATTACTCAAATTCTAGATCCCACTCTAAATTAGGGAATGAAGTAGTGGAAAATATCAGATCAGAATTCAAAACCCTCAAATCGTAGCAAACTAATCCAAGTTGAAACTCAGGAAACAAAGCAAACAAGTACTCAAAATCTCAATTACAAGTACAAATTGAACCCTATGTACTCTCAGAAAGGGCTGCCTCCTCAATTTTTTCAAATTTCAACAGCAAATGGACAGTGAAAATACCAACAATGGGAGCAAGAAAAGAGACTGACGCATAAAGTAGAGCATATAGTCAATCACACAATTCCACACAGATACTTTTTTCTAAAAAAGAGGCTTTAATAATTTAAAAAATCAAAATCACTTCCCAAGAACTGAAAAAGGAAAAAATGCAGTACTAGAGGACCACCAGAAAATAAAGAACTGAATCTGGTCAGGTCTTGAGAACATGCAGCAAAAATTTTATGATTTCAAATTCAAAAAAACAATTCACTTCATGAAAAATTATATAAAAAATGATCTTGATCCAAAAAACAAATTCTAATGGCATGCTCGGTACTGTCTATTACACAGCAAGGAACGGAGTGTTAAAGAAAAAGGAAAAAAAGAAGCTAAAATTAAGTTATTTGAAAACACGCACAGAAAGATCAGAGAAAAACCCAAATGCATAAATGGAATCTTGGAACCGAAAAACCAGAACCCAGAGCGAAAAAGAAGAGGAGAATGAAGATCACCTAAAATTTGCTAAATCCAGAGGCCTAAATTTCAGGGCTTAAGCTTCGGCAGTGAAAAGAACATTGTAGAAAGAAAACTTCCTCATTGAATGCTCAGTTTCTTTGTTCTTGAATTGATATATGTGGCAACAAAAACTTACAAATTGAGCGGAGAGAAATAGAGAGGAGATGCTTCAAAAGCAGTAATAAAAATACAGACAGGATCTTTTCACCTTAGACTGTTAGTTTAGACGAATCGGAAATACAGGCTTGAGGTTGTGGTCAAACTTAAAAGCAATGAAAACCAGCCATTAATTGAGACCTTTTTCTTTTCTGTTTTATCCTTTCTTTTGCTTTTTCTAAAGTTTGGTTCATTGTTTTTTGGTCCAAAAAACCTATAAACTTATGGACATGATGGACGGTTCCATCTCACTGTCTTCCATGGCCCATAGTCGATGCCAATTTCAAGTCGATCGAGTTGAGCCCAGGTTTACAAAGCTCTTCATATTCAGACATTAAACAAAGCAATAGATCAATCTTCCGTATTGAAATGATGTCCTGAGAAACTATTAAAGATAACTAAGTATTTGATAAACATTATTTACTGAGAAGAATCAATTCAAGGCACGTCATTCCATTATGGAGTGAGATGAAGCCCAACCATCTTATCCACCAAATTAACTAGAAGTTATCACTTCGAGTCAAAGCATTACAAAAAAAGGACCAGAAAATGTGACGATATAAGAACCGACAATTTACTCATCTCTATAAGAAGATGTGTACTAAGATACAGAGTTATAAAGAGGCTTTCATCGTCATAGATTGGTGTTGTTCTTTTTATTTAACCAAAAAAAAAAAAAAACATCTTGATGGAAATAAATACACTATTATTTCCTAATAAATCATATATAATCAAGATTACCTCGTATGGTGAGTGTACATTATACAAAGATACATAGCTGTATAGAAAAAGATGTGGGGATAAAATAGAGAAAAAAAGCCAATTCACAAAGCTCCATGCATGGATGTGCGAGCTTAAGCCTACTCAGAACACATAGGACGACGGACCAGTTTCAATGTTTCTGATTTTTTCATTTTTCATTATAATTTTTTAAACTAATATCAAGAGTATATTCCATCATTATCTTTTGATCCACGTGGAAGGCAATAGTTGATGAATGGTTAATTTTGTATGAGTGTATCGGGCTAAATGCCAATTTATTTGGGGGTGTGCATCATTAGTTCAGGAAGGAATAAATGATTTTTAGGAGTGGGCTTCAACTTATTTTCTACAATTACTTTTTCTTAGTAATTAATTCACATTAAAGAGGAGAAAAAAATAGGTTAGGAGAAGGCATGCGGGAATAATTTTTATTCATTTCATCTATAATTATTTCTATGTATATAATTATGAAGTGATTATAATTAGTCTTTTCACGAGCAACAGTACTAGGTACCTTGTCTAATGTAGAAGATATGTTAAGAGTTAATACGTGGCAATGAGTCGACCCACCATACAAGATTGAGACGAACAATAATCAAATATGCTATGGACACAAGAAATAATTCATAGGTGTGAGTAATTTCTAGTACTTGAGGAGTTACTCAACAATAATAACAAATAAAAGTAGTTACAAGCCCCTTATGGGGTGGTCGAATTGGTGGAGTAGGTAAACATGGAGGCCTTTGATCATGAGTTCGATTTTCTCTACCAACACTTCCTCAATCGAGTCCGTCGCACCGAATTTGCCTAGTGTGATTTACTTGGTTGGCGTGGTTTGCAAGTTATTGCGTCAGCTTGAAGGTTTATCCAGTGCGCACCCAAAGGGTAGCGGCTACAATTTCTCCCGTTATTTAAAAAAAAAAAGTTACAAATTAGAAAGCTTATTTCTATACCACTAAAAGCAATAAAAATCATAGTAATTGAATCAAAGAATGAGCAAGATCTATAGATATTTGTTTCAATGTGAGAGTACGTCCTAGTTTCATTCAGTAAAAAGCGTTTAAAAAAGAAAATCGCACACTCTATCATCTCAAACTTCTCTTTGATTTATGATACGACAACTTTCTATTTGTCTTTTAATCTAAGATAAATAAAAAACAAACAATAACAAAATCGTGTAAATAATTAATAAGTCTAAGTGGATGCATTAAAGATTATTTTATTGGTATGTACCTATATATACTCGATATCTCTTGTTGGAAAGAGTAGTCAGAGATAAAATTAGAGAATTTTATGACGTTAACAAAGGTGGATTCCAAAAAGAATAAGCATATTTACCATATTAGTTGTCCATATAATTTATAGAAAACAAAAGTTGTGTAAAATGAGCTATTAACTCATGATTTGTTTGGATACTGTATTCTCAGTAAAAAAGTCGACAATCTATTTAAAAGAACATGTAACAGAGGAAACCGTTTTTTCAATTTGTATAATAGTTATTCAATATCTTTTGTTGCCTCATTTTATGAAGCTACGATAATGGAAATGCCCATATTTATTATTCAATTCATTCTTGACAATTATTCCTCGAGTCAGGTGCAAGAAAGATGAAGAGATTTTATTTCTAACTAATCTTCTTAAAAACATTAGTACCTCTAAATCATAAGATATATGTTATTAAAACGAACATGAGAAGATCCAATGCGCAAGATTTCGTCGAATACCATGCAAAAGTGGAACGAGATAAAGCACTTGAGTGGTTCCCCCCATGTCCACCAGTACCATACCATCCATATCTTGGTCTCCCTCTACCTCCTCCTCCTCTTCTTCCGCCACCTCTACTGCCACCACCACCTTTAGCCGCCACTGAGGTGCACAAGACTGCCATGAGTGTGAGCACAAGGAGTAACTTCATAACCCTTGTTCTCTTATTTCCCAGAGATTTGTTCTTCATTGAACCTAATCAAAGCCAAAGGAGAAGTAAAAGGCCAAGTGGCTAACTCATGAAGGGAAAAGAAAGATTACAAGGCTATTTTATGTAGTGTTAACTATACAAGTTAAAACAAAATCTATAATACTATTTTTTATATGTTGCATAACAAAGAAAATACTCTATTCTTTTAAGTTGGCATTGTTTTACATAATTTTAGTGGCGCCTATTTTTTATTTTTTTATTTTATTTTCTTGATATAAGAGCCTTCATATTCCGATAAAAAAAAAAAAAATCATTCTTCGCAAAAAATGATACTGAGCCCTAATTGACCTAAATACTTAATATAACTACAGCCTTAAACTCAATTCCCTCGTCTAACTTGTCATTTCCAATTGATAGATTCATAAATGGAAAATGTAATGTAAGACTAGTATACTTGGGAAATATTATAAATTACTTATAATTTTCAATCAAACTTTAATTTTAACCTCATACTTATAACAACTATTCGCTTGTTATTCGACACATTCTGTGGGATTCATTACTCCACATTATTTCTCCTTATTTGCCTTGAAATGACATTAAAATGAAACAAAAATACATTAACGGCCCATCTGACATGATTTTGAAAGGTCAAAAGGAGTTTTTCAAGCTCAAAATCTACTTTTGAATTCTTTTAGATAATTTTAAAAAGATTAAATTTTTAGTTAGAAAAGTTTTTAGAGAAAACTAGTTCAATGTGACTTTCTCTAAAAGTATTTTCGAAATAGATGACTCTTTTAAAAATTAGTTTTCAAACGAAAATTAAGATAATTTTCTCCAAAAACTCATCTATAGGAAGCAAAAGCAAAATTCATGCCAAACAGATCCTATCTTATAAAGAGATATGAATGTATGGTTAAAATTAAGTATTTATAAATAATTGATGAATAAGTAAATAGTACTTGTGAATTTTATTAAAATGGATGGTTAAGAAATAAAATTTTAACAAACAGAAGCTCATAAGGAAACCAAGCACACAGGAATCTCACAAATTTTCATTTTTATATGGGAGCTCTCCTATCTCAACTAAAAATTCAATATTCCAGATAATAGATGGTGGGGTTGTACTCGACCTAAATACTTTACGTAGTTACTCCTTCAATCCCGTTTCCATCTTAATAATCAAAAGATAGATTCATAAGTTGCACAAGTTCAAGTTTCGCATCACAATTTTTATTTTCTTAATATGTGAGCATTCGAGTTCCAATTAAAAAACTTATTCTTCAAGATTTCTATTCGACCTAAATACTTTATGTAAATTATAACTTAAATTCCAATTTCATTTTATTTTTAGCATAAGAGCTCCATATCCTGATCAAAAAACTCATTCTTCAAGATAACTAATAATAGGGTTTTCTGCTTTAGGGGCGGGGCGGTGAGGCCCTCAAGATTGGGGTTCAACCTTTAATAATAGAGTTTTCTATTAACCTAAATATGTTTTATATGATAAAACTTAACCCTAATTCCATCTATAACTTGGCACCTCCAAATCTCAGGTTCATAACTAGTACATATTTATGACAATAATATATGAGAATATCACAAATTGCAATAATTCTCTAAAAAAAAAAAAAAATAAAAAATAAAAAAAAAAAATATATATATATATAAAATAATGAGAATGAACCTATACATACATTGGTATAATTTTTATTTATTTTTAAGAATGATTATGTTTTTACGTACCTCTTACTCGAGATCTCTTTCGGAAGACGGGGGAAGAAGTTATGGAAATAATAGGCGTAATATTGGAGGGCAATCGCAATCGAAATTACAAAATTAAGTTAAGAATTTTAAGGAAAGAAGAAGTATTTACTGTTTAACTGCATGTGTGGATAAGCTTAAAATTTTACTCAAAGTAAGTTGTGGATAAAAAGCTTTTTATTGGTCAAAATTAAAAACAAGTAACTTACTTATATTGAGTACTAAATGGAAACAAAAGATTAATGTAGACAAATATGATCATGTGTCAAGTCTCATTAACCTTCGATCATCGAATACCTCAAAAACTCAGATTATGTAGGAAAACGTGTGATATGATAAAAAAAAGTAACGGAGTCCATGTTTGCAAAAAATATAATGAGATTATAATGAAAAGATGTAATAAATCTAACAAAATGTGTAAATAATAACGGTGTAATAATCGTGAATGTGTGATTGAAATTTATAGATCACATTTAACTTTGATTTTAATTTATAAGGGGATGATAACGAAATTCAATCAGAGTCTACCTATAAATAGGGGCAAGATTTTCGTCATTTTCGGCTGTAAAAACTAATAGGAGAAGGGAAGACTTATGTATCAAAGTGGTAGATTTTCTATTTTGTTGGCTTTTCTTTTAAAATTTTTAAATACATTTCTTGGACCAAAACTTGACTAAAATTCGGCAGGTATCTAATCAAATTTTGAAGGCCGTCATGGTTGGACCGGGCCATATTGGGCTATAATATAAGGGAAATTTGCAATATTAACTCTCAATCTATTGTTATAGTAAGTTACAATCTGTCTTCAATGACGAATGCTATCTATATCTCCGTAAATTATCATGAGAGTCTCAAGTATGACGTAATCCAACTTTGCAAAGCTAAATTTTAATTATTAATTTGGTTATATATTCTAAAATTTGAAGCGAGACACTTTTTTCATAAAGGTCACGTGGCAAGGTAACGTGTTCGTTGGGAATGAATTAGGCAATCATATGAAAAATTCAGGAACAATTTGATCTTTTATAAAAGTTGGAACCAACTTGCTAGTCGAAAACTAAGTTGGTACTAATACTGCAAATATTTGGCTTCCAAGCAAATCGTTTAAAATACTCAAAACCTAAAATGTCAAGAACCATAGTGGGTCGGGGTTTGTTGGGAAGATTCGGCCACTTATTAATTATATCAACTTAAATTTGTCATTCAGATCGATTGTTTGATTATCTCACAATTAGAATTTTGAAGCCTCATTTTGCCTCTATTTGTCTTATTTTATAACAAAACTCTTTAATTTTCATACTCATTTTCAATCACACATTTATACAATAAAATATTTTACACTTAAACTCAAATTTTTTTCAAATTTTTAATCGAATATTCTTCAAAAAAAAAAATAGTATTCAAAACAGCTCAGGAGATTTAAAGGCCATCAAATTTGACTTATAAATTATTTAATAAAGCATTTCAATTTGCACTTTCTAACTGAAAACAGAGTACAAAAACAGAATGGAAGCAGTTAAAAACGCAGGCACATTTATTGATTTCAGGCTCAACTCCCCCCATTTTGCTGTCTGATTTTTGTATTGTCGAAACAGAATCAATGGAAAACCAGAACGAAACGATGTCGCAGCATCTGCTATCGGCATTCTTGAATGTGTACTCCGTGCTGAAATCTGAGCTCCTGAATGACTCTGCTTTTGAATGGAGTGATGATTCTCGTCAGTGGGTCGAAGAGGTAAGTTTGTCCTTCAAATTTTTGTTCTTTCCAATTGTGTTTTATCTAGTTAATTTCCATGGTCGATCAGGTTGAACCGGCTGGTTTAACGTGTTTCAACTCTTTCAAGTGTTTGATAGCAATTTTTAGACTATAACAGACTAATTCTTGGCAGAGACGGCCCTGAGGTGTACTAGTTGATCGAGTGTACAGGGCCTTAAAATTCTAGGGGCACAAAATTTTTTTTTGTTATAGCTATATATTTACTTATAATTAAATATTTATATTAATTTTAAAATATAAAATTTTTATTATTATGCATCAGATATTAAAATTAAGAATAATGTGACTAACTAATTATAATTTTCTTGAATATAATATTTTTAAATAGTATTCCTACAGTAAATAATGTGAGGGAAAAGGGAAAAGTCGAAAAGAGATCAGGTCGGCCACAGAATTGAGAGAATAAAGAAAAATTGAGCAACCGCCTTTTTTAATAGTCTTTTTGGAGAAAAGGATTAAAGAAACCAACCATCTTATCCAATTGCTTCAAAGATAATTGAGGCAGAGAAGAGAGAAACCAACCGTCTTTTTGGATAAATCGTCTTTTTCTTCAGTCATCTTTGATCTAGCTCCAAAAAATTGCTCTTTTCTTTAGACAAATTAACCTCATCGGATGATGTTAATTTGAAAACATGTTGTGATCATCTTGATAATGTTTTTAAGACATGTAAATTTTTGCGATCTTGATGATGAAAATTTATTTCAAGAGTTAAAAATTTTGTGAAATCTTTTACCAAAAGAAATAAAGACGACTTTTGATACATGACTTATTTGAAAAGATTGGATTGCTTTCCGAATACATGTATTACTTATAGAATATTATTGACATACTGTGGCATCTGTTGAAAGAAGCTTTTCAAAATTGAAAATTTTAAAATCTTATTGGCAATCAATCATATTACAAGAATGATTGAATATATTAGCTTTGATATTTATTGAGCAAGACTTTTTAGAAAATATTGATTACGAAAGTTTAAATAGTAAGTTTGCTTCTAAAAATACGATAAGAAATTTTTTTACATGATTTGTTACATTTCAAACTTTACACTTGACCTGATACATATATTTTTTCAAGGTTTGTATATGGAATTGGACGAAGAGGCTAATGGTTTGAATGGTTCTTTGTCGATAACATATGAATTTTGATTAAGATTGAGTGATACTTTTGAGCTTTATTTATGTTTTCTTGTTCATGTATGTAAAATAAAATAAAATATCATATTTTTGTAATGAAATAATATTATTGAAATGTTTTTTTTTTTTTTAAATATGTTTTAGTTACTTGAAGGGAGCATCATTTTAAAATCTCACACGGGGCATCCAAAATCTCAGTACCGGCTCTGATTCTTGATTTTTCTTGTTGCACCAGTCGGACATGCTGTTTCAGTTCATGGGACTCCTAACAAGTTAACAACCCACCATTTCTTATAAAATAATTTGTAATTAAGGAGCTTAATTATCCTTGTTTTACTAGAAGAATGAAGGCTCCTTGTCCCAAAATATAAAGTATTAAAAAACAATATTTTCATTTCACCTGCGGGGTGGGACTAGAACTGGTAGGTTAAAATTTAGAGATGGGTTAGACATGGATTTTGGGCTGAGCTAAGTTTTTGTACAGCTATTGATGCCTTAAGATTAACTTTTGAGATGAACCAGATAAGAGTTTGTAGTAAAGGATTCATGTACTCGACCCAATATTAACGGGAAAAGGACTTTGTTTGTCGATGATGTTGTACTTATTTGTTAGTGCTTATTGTTTATGCAATGCTATTATTGATTATTCGTAGTTTCTGATGTGATCTTTTATGTGTTTGTGGCAGATGTTGGACTACAATGTACCTGGAGGTTAGTTATGAGTGAAAAAAAACTGAATTTAAAGTATTTGGTATACTATCCACTATAGCATACCAAACGTGTTCAGCATTACATGCTAATAATTGCGATAATGCGTTGTTATTTCCAGGAAAGTTAAACCGAGGAATGTCTGTTATTGATAGCTACAAGTTGCTAAAAGAAGGCAAAGAGCTAACCGAGGATGAAGTTTTTCTTTCTAGCGCTCTAGGCTGGTGTATTGAATGGGTAGGTCGAAAGTGGTTTATGATGACTTCTTTTTAGCTGCAAAAACAGCTTCCGGCTTTGGCTGTTTTTTTGCAGCAGGATCTAAGCTACATTTTTCCATAAAATTGCAGCTTCAGGCATATTTTCTAGTCCACGATGATATTGAGGATGGTTGTCATACGAGACGTGGTCAACCCTGTTGGTTTCGATTGCCCAAGGTTCGTGCTGAAAGTGAATTCTCTCAATTTTCTATCTGAATTTGTCGAAGGATTTGTCACCAAAATCGTATCTTCTTGACTGATTTTCATGTTTTAGGTCGGTCTGATTGCTTTAAATGGTGGAATCATACTTCGGAACCACATTGCTCGAATTCTCAAGATGCATTTCAGAGAAAAGCCTTATTATGTGGATCTAATAGATTTGTTCAATGAGGTATACCGACAATTGAGGACCCTGATTAATCATTTTTCATGTTTACTTTAGATATGCTAAATTTGATTTGTTTTGGGGCTTTTAGGTCGAGTTCCAAACAGCTTCAGGACAGATGATCTTTGGGTTTTTGATACCCAATAAATCCCGGGCTATGATGTTAACGTGGGTTAATATTATTTCATAGGCATAGGCCGATGAATGAAATAAGTCCAACAACCAAGTTCATGAGCTACACCCGGCCCAATTGTATTCCTTATGGATGGCTTGAATCTTAGCCCGCTTACCCCTTTAGTGGCCCAACTTAAAGCCTAACCCTAGAGTATATATATGAATATAACCCTAGCCTCTTTATGATGATGATTGTGTGATTTTGAGAGAAGAAACTAGTGAATCCCGGCTGCCCTCCTTTTGTGTGAGAAAAAGGTGTCCAGAAATGTCCAAAACGCTTGTATAACGTGTGCAATTGGTAGTTCTTTCATAGTATACCTTTGTGGTGTCTTCTCCTAGCCTTTGTGGCGATAAATCATCATCCCTTCTTGTCCTACGTGGGTAAGATTGTATAGCAACCAAGGTGAATCAATTTGGTTGTGGTTTGGAGCCGTGTGGATTGGTTGTTGGTAGAGAAAGGTACGTTGGACTGAGCCTGGAAAATCACCGTTTGAAGATCCTTTTGAGAGAGCTTCCGCAACATGATCGATTTGATTACAACTCTTGAAGGAGAAAAAGATCTATCAAAGTACTCGTTGCAACTGTGAGTCCGAGAATTTGTAAAATCTCGTGTGTTTACGCAGTTCGGAATTATGCAATGTGTTTCAGCATTAATAAATAACATCCACTTTCCATAATTCAATACCCAAAATGTCTTGTAGTTTCTGATAAATTAATTGAATTGCTTGAATTATTGCAGTCATCGGCGCATTGTTCAGTACAAGACAGCCTACTATTCATTTTACCTTCCGGTGAGTGACAAATCTGTCATTCTACTAATCCATGTTGTCAGGAAAATCATGTTATTGAATTGAGACAGTGTCTAATTCCTGATGTTTACCCAGGTTGCCTGTGCATTGCTTATGGCTGGTGAGAACTTAGACAACCACGTTGTTGTCAAGAACATACTCATCGACATGGGAATTTACTTTCAAGTACAAGTAAGTCCAATAAACTTGAAATTTACTTTTAAGTAACTTTTTTACTAAACATGTTTGATTTTTTGTAGGAGTTACTTTTTAAGATTTTTGGTACAAAATCTTACTGACAACAATACTGTCAAGAGCAATTTCCTAATTCGAAAGCTAAGAGATAGGCCGAGAAAATAAATGAAATAAATGATAGTTTCCACATTTTCCTCAAGTTTTTGGAATTTGATTAGAACGATGAGACGAATTCCAGTTTAAAATTTCATAGAATAATGTTCTCTACATTTTGAACAACTATGAGAATTTTGTTCATTTTAACTGTCACTAAATGTCATTCCTTGAGAAGTATACAAATAATGCCTGCGGATTGGCATTCAATTTCTGTCATTTCAATTTATGTGGTGACAATAATTGCACGCGACGGATTTTTAGTTTTCTATCCTTGGCATAACGTGTTTTCTATTTATTTAGGATGATTACCTAGACTGCTTTGGAGATCCTGAAAAGATAGGGAAGGTGAATTCCTGAATTTTCCATTTCTAACGTCGAAATATTCTTAAAATTTCAACACAGTGATTGCCATTAGTTCTTACTTCATCGTGATGCCTCATCAGATTGGAACGGATATTGAAGATTTCAAATGTTCATGGCTCGTTGTAAAAGCCCTGGAACATTGCAATGAAGAACAAAAGAAAATTTTATTTGTAAGAAGCAAATTTAATTTTATTGTATTCTAACAATCTGTTCATATCTGACGAAAAAATGTATTAACATCTGCATTTTTATTACCAGGAGCATCAAAAGTTAAAGCACTTTATAATGATATTGATCTTGAAGGCGTGTTTTTGGAGTACGAAAACAAGAGTTATGAGAGAATAACGAGCTCAATTGAAGCTCATTCGAGTAAAGCAGTTCAGGCAGTGTTAAAGTCCTTCTTGGGAAAGATATACAAGAGGCAGAAGTAAGGGGTGTTTAGCATATGGAAAACCCTTGTGGTACATAAGGGTTGGTACATTATTGTGTGAGGGTATGGACACCATTGTGTACCAACCCTTATGTACCCATAGACCAACCCTTAGCATATATCATTGAAGCAAGGGAGGTTTAGATGAAGTTAAATAATCCCAATATATATAGTGATTTTTATTTGTATTCTAGTTGTTGGAGGAAAATCAGTTGCCTGGATTCATGTTTGTATCAACCTGTTATTGTGTTCATGGTTTTCAACTCCATCGTCTTGGATTAATTATATTGCATGCAACCCTTTTCTGCCACCGCTTTGAGTTGTGGTGATAAGGTGCTTTAGCTTCTCCTCGAGTTAAGAGTAGTAGGAAAAGAGGAGATATCCTATTTGAAAGCTAGTTATTCTCAATAGGGTGAGAGGGAGTTTTTCCAAGGAGAATACATCCCGGTAAGCTCATCCAAAGAACGAATCTCCTCTCCTCGGCCTCTCTCAAGTACTTGGGGGAAAATCCTCGGTAGACTCCCTAGAGTGTCCCCCCCCCC